TTAAAATGTGTTACATTTATTTATGCTGTGGAATATTTCTTTAATGGAAAGATGCAAAGATGTGTTGCATTCTTTTATGTTGCATTTGTTTAACTCTGTGAAGCTGTGCTACTTTGCCTATCTAAAACACCTGATTGGTTAATAGATAGGCAGGAGAAAGAAAAGGCAGGGCTGGCAGGCAGAGAGAATAAATAGAAGAAGAAAGAGAGAGAGAGAAGGATGAAGAAGCAAGAAAAGAAGGGGTAGGGCACCCAGTCACCCAGCCAGACACAGAATAAGAGGGAAAGAAAAGATGTACAAAAATAGAGAAAAGTAAAAGCCCAGAGGCAAAACATAGCCCGAATAAGTTAAGAAAATCTGGCTAGAAGTAAGCCAAACTAAGGCTGGGCATTTATAAGTAATAATAAGACTCCGTGTGATTTATTTGGGAACTGGGTGATGGGCCCCCAAAGAGAAAAGAATAAAAACCAACAACAATGAAGGGTTAAAGTAAAAAAAAAAAAAGTCCAACTTGGTGGATTAATACACTCTTATTGGGGTTTGTAACAGGAGTATGGTTGAAGGGTTACTTACAGGAACAGAGATGGTACAAAACCAGCTGCATCACCAAAAAGAGCACCCTAACATTAGTAGCGACTCCCAAAAGCTGCATGCCTGTTGCTCTCTGCACAGGTTGCACTCAGCTCCAGGGTCTGAGAAATCCCCTCTCTGCAGCCAGGCTGACCAGAGCCTCTCCTGATGAAATCCTTTTATAGACTGGGAGAGTGTTCGAGGATCTGTTTTCCCAGTCATATGACCATTTGCTTTCCCCCACAGGCTCATGAGTTTCCCCGGGGCCTGGAGGGAATGTTTAAACTTGGAAGAAGCTGCGATTCAATGGAGAGTCAGTTTCTTTAAGTGTGGGACCCCCGATAGGTCAAACCACACTCCAGGGGATGGCCCCATACTCATGAATATATTAAAAGCAGAAATTGAAACCAGTGGGCTATTAAAAAGACAAGAAAATGGGAAGGGGTGGGGTGTGGTACTGGGAAAGAGCTGGGCCACTTCCTGGGCAAGCATTGGGACAGGCTTTTGGATCCCTGGACCCCACATAAGTGCTACACGGGCGTGTGGCCGCCCACCTGTAATTATACCCTTAGAAAACTTAGGGAGAAGTGGGGGTGGATATGACAAAAATGCATTAGATGCACTATGAAATTTTCAAACAAAAATGTCTTTAAAACTATTTTACAGATGCTTGTGTTTATGTACTCAGTGCAGAACTGAGGCTTCTCCTCACAAGGCCTCACTGCTGACAGACAAACACAAAGAAACGGAACTCAATGACAGGAGACTGTGCCTGCTCCTTCGTCGTGGACTGAAGCCTCTGCTTCCAGAGAGGCTGGCGCAGGCAGTCAGCACATTGTGGTCTTTCACATGACTGCATTTTCCTTGTGGGATCCTTGCCTTTAGGACTGAGACATTTCATTAGCATCCCAACCCCTTGCCCTCCAGAAGAGGAACCAGCAAGGTCATGAACTTCTCCAGCTGATATGGGCAGAGCGATGGCAGTTAGGAACGCGGCTGAGGGGAAGTGGTCGGAGCCAGGGTCCTGGTGAAGGGTCGGAGCAGGGTTCGGGGGCAGGCGTCTGCAGCTGGGTCTTGAATTCCTCATCTTCTGGCTGCACCATCCCAGGTAGGACGCCCTGTGGGAACTTCAGCTTTTGACTTAATTCCTTCGGACTTGTGTTTTCTCACTCATGAAATCCTGTATACATGAAAATAAGAACAAATCAGCTGACTCGCACATATTAAACTTCATAAACTCTATAAAAGCACACAGCACAGGGCACTAAGGTTCTAGACACGGGCACTGATGAGGAAGAAGGTTTCTGCAAACTAGGCATGATGGCGCTCAGGAGGCAGAGGCAGAGGCGGGTGGATTTCTGTGAGTTCAAAACCAGCTTGGTCTATTCATCAAGATCTAGGACAGCCAGAGTTCCATAGTGAGACTGTGTCTTAAAAAAAAAAAAAAAAAAAAAAAAAAAAAGGCAAGTAAGTTTCTGCAGATACAGTCACATATCTGAACTTTTCTCAAGTTCAAGACGATTTCTCCCAGGGAAACAGAACGGAGGCGGGCACAAGGCCACTTGAATGGGTACCAGGAGATTATGCAATGAGCAGCAGGATGGTAACTATGCTTAGTCACAGTAGTTAATACTCACTGGTGACAAATCAAGGAACACTGTCTACTTCAATCCAGCCTTGATTATAGCCACATGGGGAGACATTAAGTTCTATGAAATGCCATAGCAATCCACCCCAGAAAAAAAAAACAAGCAAACAAACCTGTTACCCGATCCAGACTGCGCACATACATTCCTATGCTGAAGATCCTGGTGTCATTCATGAAGACAATCCCTTTCCCAGGACCACTGATGGGAGCTGAAGGTATCTGAGCTCACACAGCTAGGCTTCCCTCCTTTGTCTATGTTTCCATTGTGTGTGCACCTATGCATGTTTCCAAGTGTGCGTGCACACCTGTATATGTGTTATCATGCTTGCAGTGGCTGAAATTTTCATTGGTAACCATCCTCAATCCCACTTCACCCTAGTCATTGGGGCAGGGTCTCTTAGTCAAAACCAGAGCTCACTGATATGGTTAATCTGGCTAGCTAGCTCGTCCCGGGGATCGCCTGTCTCCACTTTTCTAAGGGTTTAATTACATTACAGGTGGGTGGGCACACGCTCGCATAGCATTAATGTGGGTTCCAGGGATCCAAACTCCTGTCCCAGTGCAGAAATCCTCATATGCAGGAGACCCTTTATGTGCAGAAGAAGCCCTTGTGTGCAGAAGACTCTTTATGTGCAGAAGCAGGCCTTGTATAGGGGACCCCTTATACGCAGAGGCAGCCCTGGTGCTCAGAAGAGGACTGTATCATGCTATATACAGGAGGAAGTCATATATGAAAGCCTGAAAATACAGTGTCGAGAAAGAGCAGGACCTTGTTAGCTTTCATTTCGTGCTCAGTTTGACTCTATTCGTTCCCTGGTTAAATATCCAACATCTCAAAAAGCTTAGGTAAGAGGCCGCCGGGGAAGATGTCTCAAAGGTCCAATTCCTTTCACAGCTCATCAGGCCTCTTAGGAAACCTCATATTAAAGACTGGACCAAATCTGAGAAAACAGCCGTCCCGTGGAAGAGATCACAGTTTTGCTAAGTGTGTGCGTCTAAGAACCAAACGAAACAAAATGTAAACCAGGGTCTAAAGGACAGACCTTTGTGTTTCTAAAGCCTTTAGGAAACAATTCGAAGGTTATACTTTAACACCAGCTGTTAGAAAATGCGGGAATTACGGAAGAGAGCGAGCGTACTGTCAGCTGGGATGTGGGAAAAGAGTAAATTTAAACTTCCTTAAACTTGACGAAAGATTTTCAAATGGGCAATGAGGCAATAAATGAGGACAACGATACACAAAATACAGCAACAGGCCAGAGTGGGGCATTGTGGTTAAAAAAGAAAAAAAAGGCTTATCTTATTCATGTCCTTTTATTTACCTTTGGAGGGAATGTGAGATTGTGGATCAAGGCCTTGCTGCGCCACATCCTCACTTTGGCATTGAGCTGGCACACGGCCTCTGAGATTCAGTTTCTTCATTGGCTAAACATAGCCAGGCCCCACCTGTTCGCTCGGGCGATTGTAACCTATGGTAAATACTGCTCAGCAGCTGTTTAACACAGGCTTCAGTCTGTCTACCCGGCTTTTCTTCTTTTTCTGTGTGTGGGCTCTCTTTTCCTCAGACTCTCTAGCAAGCATTGTTTTTTGTTTGTTTGTTTTGCTGAGACAAGGTTTTTCTGTGTCGCGTTGGGTGTTCGGGAACTCGCTCTGTAGACCAGGCTGGCCTCGAACTCACTAAGATCTGCCCGCCTCTGCCTCCCGAGTGCTGGAATTAAAGGCAGGGGCCACTGCCACCAGGCTTCTCTCAAGAATTTCTACCCCTAGCTCTTATGTATGTGATGGTGGAAATATTTATTTAATTGTACCATGTTAAGAAAAAAATTATAATTAGTTCATAAGTATGTGTAAGATTATTTATGATTTTTAATGGGTCTGGATCTGTTGTTACATTGCCTGCTTTATATAGGTAATGCATCTGGGATGTTAAGCATAAGCGTAAGCTTGCTGTGTCAGAGACAATGACAAGCTGTCCCTTCTGTGTCGCTGTGATAAAATACCATGTCCAAGGCAACCTCTAGAAGGGAGAGTTTACTTGGCTTATGGTTCGAAGGCTGATGCCTCATGAGTGGGCAGGCACGGTAGCAGGAAGAAGAATCGGGGAGATCACATCTTTAACTCCAATCATGAAGCAGAGGGTGAATGAGAAGTTGGGGGAGGGGGGACTATAAATATTCAAAACACACCCCTTGGGAACATCTGAAAGGAGTGTCACCACCTGCGGACCGAGTGTTCAAATATCCTATGGGGGACAGTTCTCATTCAAACCATTGCATAGGGCCCAGAAAGATGACTCACTGGGATGACTCCAAGAGCTTGATATGCGAGCGCGGGAACCTAAGTTAAGACACCCGGACCCTCAGCGTGGGCATGTCTGTGAGCGCAGCACCGGAAGTCAAGAGGAGCCCGGACAGCTCCTTGAGTAGTCCAGCCCAAACAGTGAGCATCTAGGATCAACCAGAGACACTGTGTCAAGAACACTAGATGGGGCACTCTAGAGGAGCACACCCAAAGTCAGCCTCTGGCTCGAGGCACAGGGATGGATGCACTCGTGCCCCCCCACACATGTGTGACCCCCTAAATAGAATGGTGAGACCCTTAGAAAGTCAACTCCACTCATGATTTTATCTACCGGCTTTACTCAGAATCCTACATAACAATGATGTTCAAAGAACAAAAAAATCAATGCTTTATTCCTTTTTGGAGGGGAGAAGAAGCTGGAGACAAGATCTCTCTATGTAGCCCTGGCTGTCCTGGAACTCATTCTGTAGACCAGGCTGGCCTCGAACTCACAGAGGTCCACCTGCCTCTGCCTCCCAAGTGCTGGGACTAAAGGTGTGCGCCACCATGCCTGGACAATATTTTATTCTTAACAGTGTGAAAGTTCCACACAAAGGACTCCCGCTTCAATTCATGTGAATCTTATTTGTAGGCCATCAAGAACTGAGAAACTCGTATGTTGTGATCATCCTAACGTCTCGTTTCTAGAATATATTAGTATGTCACCGACTTAAGGCCACTCATCATATTAAAACGTAGGTCTTTATTCACTGGAATTTAGTTGGAAACATGCAGAGTGAACGATGTCAGGCTTTCAGGAAGTTATGACGACATATATAATGGACATTAAGTCAACAAACAAAACAAATAGAATTTTCAGAAGCCGTCCCAGAATTTCATCTTCCAGGCTTTGGGGTGAAGTTGTAGACATTAATATCCAGTTTCTACCACTCATATTCAGATATTCTTGCTCCCTAGAAAATAAAAAGAGGGCAATCAGCACCCTGCGGGAAGCATATTATATTCCTTATTCCTTTGGTGAAGAAAGCCTTCTAAGGAACGAACGCTCTACCTATTTGTAGCCAACCAGTGAAATATATGTTTTTTCCCACTCATTTTGGTGACTTTATGCCATAGTCATTGGTTTGTTGCTTGTTATTTTGCTTTTTAGGATTTAGTTTTAAATTTATGCAAATGTTGAGGTATATGCAGATGAGCACAGGGCCCTCAGAGGCCAGAAGGGGATTTGGATCCCCCATAGCTGGGGTTAGAGACAGTTGGGAACCATCTGTAATACTGGGGACTGAACTGGGGTCCTCTGGAAAAGCAGTACGTGCTCTTAAACACCAAGTCGTCTCTCTAGCCCCTGGTCACGGGTTGTTTTTCTGCATGCCAAACTTGTCTTTTGCTCTACAAGGAATGGGTCAAGAGGCTTCCTGAATGATCATTCCCGATTTATGCTGTCTGACTTGCCACCAGGGATTCCCATGAGAGAAGCAGAGGAAGACGTGGGGGAATGCAAGTCGTAACATCATCTTTCAAAACTGAATGGCACAGGGTCTTTCCAATTTCTGGAACTTTCCTCCGGACCTCTCTTTTGTGTGTTTTGGCCACTGATCAAACATCCTGTCCTCCACATCTCTGAGTTATAGAAACCTTTGTCTGTTTCATTTTTGTTTTGAATAGCTGGAATCTTAAACAGAGTTTCGCCATGACTGGTTTCCCATGCTGTAGCAACTTTTTAACCGTACATCTAGTGCGGGGCTAACACCATTCCTAACTTCCTTTCCAGAAAACGAGCAGGCAAGGTGAGCCCTTTTCCTAGCCTTAAACCGAGACTCTGTACACCCTCTCAAAGGACCACAAAGACTTGAACAGAGTGGCAAGATTTGCCTGGTAGGCCATTTCAATGGACAGTTTTCTTCACTCAACGCTAAAAAAGGCAAGGTGAGGGCTAAAAGAGACAGACGAATGCTGAGCTCAGATCTCCTCCCACTTTGAGGAATCTTCCTCCATTTCTGCACCAACTGGCTCCATTCTGCAATCTCCCAGAAGGGAACACCTTACCAGAGTTACACAGCAGTCACCCGCAGAGTAAGCACCAAGTCTTTTCTGCACCCAGCCATTTCTTTTGCCTGTGTTTCAGCCAAAGAGGGGGCGGGGCAAGAGCCACATACAGGTTCAGGAGTGTCCTTCCCTTCCTCCCATAGCTCGAGTCTCCAGCCTGGCTGTCCTCCGTCAGGGCTGTCTTGGGGACCTCTCCATTCATCCCCAAATCAGGAAAGAATGAGAATAGATAGGTGCTGGAGAAATAGAGGGATGGTGGTGAGGCCATTTCTCACCTGAGATCCTCGGGCGGCGGCAGGCAGCACGGCTCGACCGGTTTCCAACTGTCCTCTCCAGCTTTCGCAGGACCAAAGTGCTGTGGGCACAGGTGTTCACCTAGCAACCTCGGTCCCTGTGTCAAAGCACGTGGAAGGCTTAATTGGACTCCACTGTGGTTCGGCAAACAGAGGTGCAGCAGCTGGCACAGGAAACTGCTGCAGGACTTGACAGGGAGAATCGCTGAAGACGGGAGACAAAGACATTATAATTTTATTTTAAGATAGAATTGGGTGGCTTAGAAATTGAAAACTGAAAAGAAATACCAAGTCCGACTGAAGGATTTCCCTTGTAGGGGAAATATCCACCACACTTTCTAAAGAAACAATTACCTTGAAGCAACAGCTGAACAAATGCTTCAATATCCTCACGGCAAAGCTTAAACACATCTCCATGTGAGAGACCATAGCTCACAAGACGGCAGGGCTGATTTCTAAATACTAAATTTTAAATATTTTACAAAGTAAGAAGTAGGGCAGTGGATTTATAATAACAAAGGGCTGTAAAATATGGTCGTTATGCCCTTCAACCATGTAATTATCCTTCCCGTACTTAGTGTCTTGAACATAAAGACATTGTGCTCAACAGTGCCCATTGCGGGTTTTCTTCTGTCCCAATCACCAGACCCCAGCTCTCTGATAGGCTATTTCTCTGCACAGATTCAGTGACCACTTTTCAAAAGTTATTGGGACCAATGAAGAGTCAAGTTCTTTTTCTTCAGAGTTTGAATTTTTTTTTTTATATACATGATCTTTGTTGGGTACAGGCTCTGAGTCTAAATCCAAAGTTCATCCCTGTTTCAAGGTTTAGCACCTATAAACAGTGTTCTGAGCATACCCACCCTTTTATTGCAACCCGGCCTGTCAGAATCGGACTTGGAGTCTTCCAGTTGTGGGTCTGAGAGACAGGAAGTTTGAAAGCTTGGGATGCAGGGGGTGGGGGTGGGGTCTCCATCTCTATTCCACATCAGGCAAACAGGCCAAGGTCATGGGAAATAAATCAGATATTTAACACTTTCACCAAGTAAATACATACAGGTAAAATCGAAATTATTTTAATTACGTAAGATAAATTAGAAAATAGGAATGGCCACTAAGCCATTATTCAGCCATGGATGGAACATAATATATCCATTAAAATGATGGTTAATGCACATAGGAAATCATAGAAACATCACTTAGGAGATGATGCTTAAATATTTTAGAGTGACCACAGTACCCCGTAGACTCCTATGCATCATACTCTTTGAAAGAACCACCTGGCTTCCTTCAGAAAAGCATGTCTCCAAGTGATCTTCATAGTATCTTTACTGGAGTCAATCCAAAAATGCCTAGGTGCCATGTCCAGGCACGGCTTCTAGGGCCTTCGACCTGACTGGGCAGTAAGAGAATGAAGAAAAGACAGATCGGGACACAAACAGACAAGCTGGGATCAGGTGGTCTGGGCTCTTGGCTGCAGAAGCCACAGCATTCCAGAAGCTCAGGGTATTTATATAGAGCTGAGAAGGGCGACGAGGTCATTACAGATGGATAGACGAGGAGGAAGGGGTTACTGCACAGAGATAGACAAGGAGGCAGGGTCGTGGTGAACAGCTGGATCAAGGCACAGGTGTAACAGATCGCAATAGGGGCAGGCTCTGTAGGGGAGCAGTCTTCACGCCATAAATGTCCAGGGAGAGAAAGCTACAGCGGACAGTCTCCGCAGACACACCACCATCCCATTGCCCTCTGAGCCTCATCGTGGGGGAGAAGGCTTCACTCTTTTCTCTGAAGCTCCTGGGTCCTTGACACAGCCATGTCCATGTTGGCCGTGCACATTCATTCGGGACATCACTCACTAGGGAATTCCTGTCCCTACAACCAGGGAGGCAGGGATCAATGGTGGCATAGACATCAAGCGGAATGCAGTATTGCAACGACAACTGAACCAGAGATAGACAAAGTTAGGATGAGCCTTATAAAGACAAAAACCAAACCTCACAAAGCAAGGGACGAAAGCAAAGACAGTGTTGGCACCTTCACATAAAGCAGAAAGTGTGGGCCTTATGTCCGGTTGAGGAGTGTGTGTATATATATATATATATAGAGAGAGAGAGAGAGAGAGAGAGAGAGTAATAGTGGTTTAAAGGTAAATATGAAGAAGGAAGTGGTTACTGAGCTAACATTCTCCTTATCATAACACTATACTTGACAAGGAAGCAACGTAAGAGAGTGGGGTTTATTAAATCTCATGGTTTGAGGGGCTACAGTCCATCATGACGAGGCAGAAACATGAGCAACTAGCTGGTCACTCCGTAACTGCAGTCAAGAAGCAAAGAGAGAGTATACTGGCCCTCAACTCATTTTCTTCCTTTGAACTCAGTCTGTGGGATGTAGCGATCCCTATTCTGGGAGGGTCTTCTCTCCAGATAGACCTCTTTGAAAGCACCTTTAAAAATCTGCCCAGAGGTGCATCTCCAGGGTAGTTCCAAATGTACTAATGTTAACCATCACGATCACCCATCGCAAAGCGGAGGTCACTAAGAGGGACAGGCAAGAGCTTCCAGCCGGGTCTAACTTCTTGTCAATACACTCACAATCGCTTTTAAACTATTTGTTATCCTGTGCATAGTGCATGCTGTGGAAAGATTGAAGCACAAATTCTAATTGGTCTTAATAAATAGAACCCAGGGTTAAATATTAGGAGGTGAATACTTTAAGGATTAGAGACCTTTTACCTCTACCAGTGTTCAGACCGAAGGGACGATTCTGTCCTTAGACTGTCTCCTCAGACTGCATCTTCAGACTGCACTGAGCTCCTGTCTCCGCCCACCTTTCCTTTCTCGGCCCAGCCATATCACTCCTGTCTCTACCTCCCCAGTGCTGGAATTAAAGGCCTGGGATCCCAAGTGCTGAGATCACCTTTCTCTTAGATTCAATCTTGTGTACCCCAGGGTGACCTTGAACTCACAGAGCTCCCTCTGCCTCCCACTCCCTCTCCCAAGCCCTGGGATTAAACGTGAGTGCCACCAATCGCTGACTTCTAGCTCTGCACTCTGATCTTCAGGCAAGCTTTATTTGTTAAAACACAAACAAAAGATCACTCTGGAAGAGCCTATGTTTGAGGCTAGTTTAGGCTACATAGTAGGCTCCAGGCCTGCCTGAGCTATATAGCTAGACCTAGTCTCAAAAAAACATAAACAAAACAAAACAAAATCAACCCCTCCTCCCCACACAAAAGAAATAAGGAGACCTTGTGCATATGAGTTTTGTGTGCCCTTCTGCATTTACAGTGGATTTCACAAAAGGCAAGGGAGAAATACACACACAGACAGTGGCCAGCATATCTATGCTTAGGTGGAAGGCCCATGGGTGATTCCCATCTCCCAAGCTGTTTCCATTTCTCAGGTCCATTGAGTCAGTAGGCTATTGTTCTTCCAATCTTAGGTACCCAGAAAAAGTTATTTTCCTCATAGCATTCTTCCCGCTCTGCTAAAAAGTAAAAAAGTAGTCCATATTGATCGGTTTTGCTAAACTATCACTACAAAACTATGAACAAAAAGGAACATTAGATTTTGCCAGTGAAATGCTTGCTCCCATGAAAATCTATCAGAGATAGACTCACCAAACAAACATGTTCCCATTTCATTCAAAACACCCATGACAAACAGGAACTTGGCCGTGTCCTGTTTGTCTCTTCCCCTTGATTCTAGATCTGAATCCCTAGTAGATACAAGTTTGTTTGTCCCGGTACCAACAACGTCAGCATGAAAACACACAGCTTTTACCTTGGATTAAAACCTTGACTATCACAATCCTTTGATAGCAATTTTTTTTTCTACTTTGGGATATAAAGAGTATACCTGGGGAAAAGCTATTTAGTCGCATCAAGTTTTAACTTGCTGACTTGTTTGAAATTTATGTGTAATTTTGCTGCATGCCTTATCAGCCTCTCGAGATCTTATTCTTATCTCAAATGTGTTTTAAAATCACAAGGCAGGACCTTCGATTTCTGTTGGGACGCTCAAGGTTATTTGGGGTCAAGTTTATTTTACACTGAAGCACAAAAATAACCCGCCCCGCAACATAAACCCCTCTGCTGGTCTTTTCCCCATTTTCAGAGGCCCAGGGGAGTTTGTATAGCATTTTATAGACTACTATATTAAAAACAGAAGCAACAAGAGACAGAGAAATGGCTCAGCAGGTAAGAGCACTGACTGCTCTTCCAGAGGACCTGGGTTCAGTTCCCAGCACCCACATAGCAGCTCACAACAGTCCGTAACTCCAAGATCTAACACCCCCACACAGACATATGTGCAGGCCAAACACCAATGCACATAAAATAGATTTTAAAAATATGTAAGAGATAATAGACGATGAAGTCTTATCAACTTTGAAGTTGTCCATTGGCTCCGTCAAGACACTGGTGCAAATGATGTAATTCGTCGCCAGGTTCCATTTTTCTATGGGGCAGATCAGCAAGTGGCATCCTCCAAAGACAGAGTGAGATGGACGGGAATGGATGACGACGGCACTCAGTTCCCAAAGATCGGTTTCTCCTTCCTGCTGCTCCCGGCTTGCAAGCCCTTGCCGCAACACCACAAATACCTTATTTTTATAGGGGAATAATACTGACTCCTGGGACCACAAGAAAACTATATTTTCTAACTGTTTAGTTCCCCTAGCAAAATAAGTCAACAAAAAACCTGACAGCATTTCTGGTTCACACTTCTCTTTCAGTCATTCCTTTCCCCGTCCTCAGGTGTGGACTTCTTTCTCTTTTTCTTTTTCTTTTTTTTTTTCTTTTGGTCAAGGGAAAGAACAGTACATGCTTTGTGAGTCTCTTTTACTATCAAAAGAAAAACACTTTTCCTTGAATTTAGTAAGAGTCTTAAACACATGAGTCACGCTTCAAAAATATTTCCTTTTTGCGAGAGCTTTCTAACCCTGTGTCTTCATCTCCATCCAACGGCTAAGATAATATTCACCAAAGTTTCCTTGAGATGGGCGCTGAAGAGTGAGACCATGAAAAATGTCACCACAGTAAACTCCAATTCACCGAGGGTCGGCAGTGAGTCGGGCCCTTCCATGTACCCTGGGAAACTGTGGGACACCCTGTAGCCCATGGCTGCTAGCCTCCTGGGGTAGATCCAGACACATCCAGAACGCTAGCCTCCACACGGCACACTTTCAACTCCACAAACTGGGTAAAGCTTTTGAATGAGAAATTGCTTCAGAAAGGGTAAGAATTGCAGGGGACACTGGTCATGCTAGCTGACATTACTAGCCACATTCCTTTGCTGGTTCAGGTTTCTTTCCATAAATGTGAATGGCCTGTGGGACAATTGGGTGCACTTGGGGCCTGACAACCCTGTTTTCCAGACTGTCTTTATAATGGTGAAGAGGTTTTTTTGTTTGTTTGTTTGTTTTTTGTTTTTTTGTTTTTCCCTGTCATTTGGGCAATCTACCCTCAGCCAGTGGGACATTCCCAGACCACAGGTCATGATCACTGCCTCACAATGAGGTCAGCTGGAAGTTGTTTTGTTGGACTTGGTTTTACCTTGTAGTTCAGACCGGCCTTGGACTCAAAATGTAGCCCAGACTGGCCTCAAACTGACACTCTTCCTGGACTTCCCAAGTGCTAAGACAGCATGAGTATGCCACCAGGTACTGTTTGTCATCTCGTTTGTAACCATTGTCCCTTACACCTGAAGGGTTCCCCTCCTTGGCCTGCTCCTGAACATGCGCTAGACGCAAGAGAATGACTATAGGCCATGGAGGCTAAGAGAAAGGCCGAGATTCAGACTGACGAGATTTGAGCTTCAGGTCTACCTTTTGCCGTGGGACCTCAGCCAGTTACACCAAACCCTGGCATCAGCAAGCACTTCTGTAACCTGAGGTGGCAAGAGCATCTTCCTTTTAGGATGATGAGAGATCCCAGTGACTATTTGTGTCTAGAAAATAAATACATAAGGCTCAATAGCAGTAATTATTAGACATAGCCTAGCATGTTGCCCTTCAGCAAAACACTCACAGGTTCCCTCAGGATCTTCACACGAACTGCTCAGATCCTTGTCCACCCTGAGAGTCTACATTGCTGTAGGAGGAGGGTCCGCTTGTTTGCCCTGGCACATTGTTTCTTTGGTGCTCCATCCTGAACTCAGGCAGAACTGATCTTGCATTTGGCAGAAACATACCAAGCCATGCCTGTCACCTACATGGCCCCACAGCAACAGGTCCAGGTTCCTAGAAGGTGGGGGCACTGGGCTGATCCTGGGTAACAGGCCAGACAGTCTGTGACACTCTCTGGTTTTCGACCAGCGCTGACATCATACATGCGTTCAAAACAGACACCTTCTTGGAAGACTTACTGGCCTTGTTCAGATGAAAATCGCAGTGGGAAAAACACAGACTACTTTTCTCAGGAAACTGTTTAAACAAGAACAACCCCAAGGTTGAATGCGTTCAACTTGTCTCGATTTGGAAAGGGCTCTGCACTCCAGTGAGGGTGGTGTTCACTAATAAGATTGTCTTTTTGAACTTGAGCAATCCTATGAAAATCTGTTTAGATGTTTTTGTTCGAATTTATTTTTTTTTATGTTGGCTTGTAACTGGGAGTCAAGCCGCTGGCAGGCCACCAACATTTGACCCAGGATGCCATGACCTGCAGTCATTTAAATGACAGCATTAAGATCTGCAGCCCCAAAGGGCCCCAAACTCCAGTGACGTGGGAATTCACTGGGAACGTATGCATGCACGTTCAATAGCGAAAAGAATTTGTAAGCTCCATAAAAATTTTGAACTATCACCTGAAGCTGTATTTTCTGGGCTGACTAAGGCCCCATTCAAGGATGCCCGCAGCTGAATCGCATCAGAAAGGCCCTTGATACGGAGCAAAGACGGCCTTCATCGGGGTGAACCTTGGATAGGAGAAAAACCTGCCTGAAAACAGGAGAAGAACCTACGGCATTACAGTGATTGCAGCCCTGATTGCCGCAGCCTGCTTACTGATTACGACTTAATTTCAAGGTGATTTTCTCCTTTCTAGCTAAGAAAAAAATAATTAAATAATTAGTAGTGAAAGTATTAAAGGGACCGCTGGCATCAGCATGCGCTCTCGGTTTTCATCGTCCCCTCATTTTGCTACATGAGCTCTTGAGAGGGAGAGACTTGGCCAGGGCCCCTGGTCATTGTTTTCCGAGCTGGTGCCACAACTGCCTAGCAACCTTCTGACATTTAAAGCCGTCGGTCTCTGCTTCACCCGAGTTTATTATTCGTAAAGAATCTGCCTTTGTCATCCCCCCCGGCTCCCCCCCCCCCACCCCTCATTTTTGATTCAGGCCAACATAGAACCAGAAAGTTCCCTGTAATGTAAAACACGAGGGAACACAGGAACTATCTGGCGGGTCAGGGTCACACAACAAATTTGACAAAGTAAAGTTGAACTGAGAACAAAGGCGTGTTTGGCCACATTCGGGCAGTGAACAAGGAGAAGGGAAGAGGAGGATCTGGAGCTGGATGGAACGGGTTTAGATCCTGGCTGGCTCTCTAGGCCTTTGGAAGAGGGACGTTACTTTATCTGGGAGGACAGAGAGAAAAATAACGCCCGCCTGGCAGGCATCTGCAGGATTTACTTCATGGCCAGCATTAATTGACCCTCCACACTTTGAGGTCAGGCTCAGGAAACACCAGCGGTTAGAAATTAACACGAGTCCTCTCTTAGTTGGAGAGACCAAAAGCCCAGACAGATCAATAATCTCTCCAAGGTCATCTGCTGAACAAGCTGTGACTTGAGAATGGCAAAGAAATCTGCTTGGCACCAAGGCCGTAGGCTACGGCACTGCAGTTTCTCAGGGCTGATAAGAACAAAAGCCGAGCATTCATGAAACTGCCTAGGCTCCCACGAAACCAATAGGTACAGTAGGATCAAAAACCCATTGCCATTGTTCTTGAGGTCTCAGTAGTCCTCATTGTCCACTATGTTCAGCGAGACCGGTTTTAACCCAGGCTGGGTGGTCCTTGAACTTCCCACAGGGCAGGGAACCCTGATTGCTCTTTGGGCTGACGAGGGAGGGGGACTTGATTGGGGGAGGGGGAGGGAAAGGGGAGGCGGCGGTGGGGAAGAGACAGAAATCTTTAATAAATAAATAAATAAAATAAAATAAAGAACAAAAGCGGAGAGCCCGGCATGCCGCCTGGTGCTCAGGAACCACTGAGATGAATTATCAGAATCAGAAAACCGGCCCCTCTCAGCACCCAGACCAGAAGAGCGAGGGAGTGGCTCATGCAAAAAGCCCTAGAAAGGCGAAGCCAATGCAGACGCGGCCAGCAAAGCCCTGCTTTGGCTGGCAGCACTTGGGAAAGGCCGCTTGACTGTCTAGTGCCTGCCAGGGGGCAGAGGGGTTCCCAGACCTGGCTCTCACCGCTCTGCCCGTGTTTTTCTTCCAAGCCACCTCCGTCCCTTTTCTTTCTCCCATGCTACTCACATCTCTCCTTTCATGTCGCCACCATGCCCCACACATGCCCCAGATGCTTGAAAGTCAGCATCCTGGCCCTAAAACAAACCCCTTCTGTACTCCTGAGAAAAAGCGTCCTCTTCCTCATCTGCTGCTGGGGCTCCTGAAGGTTTGGAGTTCCTACTTGCCACATTCTCACCACTAAGTAAGTTGTGCATTGACCCTTAAATTATGTCAGTTTTTTGGGGGGGGTTGTTTGTTTGTTTTCATTTATGTATACAGTATTCTGCCTGCATATATGCCTGCAGGCCAGAAGGGGGCACCAGATTTCATTACAAATGGTTGTGGTTAGTGGGGATTGAACTCAGGACCTCTGGAAGAGCAGCCAGTGTGCTCTTAACCTCTGAACCATCTCTCCAGCTCACGTTGGTGTTGTTGAGTGGTATTAGAAACAGTCTGCAATGCAAATGATCAGGATGTTATCGTCCACTAAGCTCCCACCCTGTCCATGACTCACAGAATGCACTCTTAAACAAGGTCTAATGAAACGTCCAGGCTTTGGCTGAGTACTCTTGGTACCCGGCTTGGAAAGAGAACCCCAACAGGCAACAGCTCCCAACATCCAGCCGCCAGGTGGGCTGAGGAAACAGGTATGGGGATTCGGGTGGACTGGATGGTAGTGGTGGTCATGGGGGTGCGGTGAGGTGGGGGTTATGGGGGTGTTATATGCAGAATTTAACTGCCCAAACGAGTGTCATTGCTGGATTGGGAATGAGGACTAGAGAGGGGAGAATCCTTGAGTTCTCCAAAGCATTTGGTAAAAGCTTTCGGTTGCTTACATGGTTTGCCTCACACATTTCTAACAGTTCGCTGCTGCTGGTGTAAAATGCTCTTCAGTGTATACACAATTTCTGAGAGCTTTCGGATGTTCTCTGGGAGGAGGTTTAGTTAAGAATGCAGAAGGCTGGAGAACACCATTTCATGTTTAAATGAGACTACGGTTTCCTTCAGGACTGGCAACAATGTCGACCCTCAATTATTCTGGTGGCCACAGGGATGGTGAGGTGTATCATTGTGTGCATGTATGTGCGGTGTATGTGCATTGTTTGTGCACATGTATCCATGTGCATGCTATTGTGTACATGCATGTGGAAGGTATTGCATGCTTGTGTGTGCATGTATGTGAGGGTATTTACATTGTTTGTGCACATGTATCCATCCATGTGCAGGTATGTGTGGAGGCCAGATGTTAATATCAACTGTCTTTCTTCATAACTCTTTTTTTTTAAAAAAATAAAATAAAAAATAAAATTTCTCACTGAGCCCAGAACTCACTGATTGGCTTAGGCAAGCTGGCCTGGGAATTCCGAGGACCCGCTTGTCTCCATGGCCTGTCTCATTACTAGGGTTACAGGGATGCACCACCAACCACAGTCTGTTTCATTTTAAATTGTCTGTATATAGGTGTTTGCTTGCATGTGTGTCTATGCCCCAAGTGAATGCCTGGTTCATGGACCAAGTCCATGGAGGCCGAAAGAAGGCATTGGATTCCTGAAACTGAAGTTACAGATGGTCGTAAGCCACCATGTGGGTGCCAGGGACTGAACCTGGGTCTTCTGGAAGAGCAGCAAGTGGTTTTAACCACGGAGTCATCTCCTGCCTCCATACTCAACTTCATTCAGATGCTGAAGATCTCAACTCGGGCCCTCAGCTTGTGTGCCAAGCACTTGGCCACCATCTCCCATTCCCAGCAAGGTTTATCGTTAAGTATGTTTTCTAAGCTCATCAAGCCATTATGAAGATTATGATGAGTTTGTGGGTTCCCCCCAGGTTCTGAATCATGAAGAAGCCCACTTTCTTACTGGAGTTCCTCATAAAATAAGCATTTTCTCTTACCACAGGAATGGCTTATGGGCTGTTCTGGGCCAGTCCTGTGCCTTTACACAGAAGAAATGCAATACACCTTTGCCCAGTGTACACTTACAGAGGAAAACATAAATCCCATCCTGCTTCTGGAGTCCCAACCACCTTCCTCTCTACTCTGTGTAAGCAAAGAGATTCCCAGAAGCGCGCAACAGAGAAAAATGGGCAGGAGGCTCAGGGGTGGAGCTGCCCCACTATCTCTGATCCCAGCTGTAGGGCCTTTAGTCTTGAGTTGTAAGCAAGATAGGATCTTCCCATTCACTCTCAACACTGGTACAGCACACAGCGTTCTGAAAACAAAGACATCCAATGCGGGGCAGGTCAACATGAGCTTGTTCTTCAGACTAATGTTTCCTATCAAGTATGGTATTTGTAGGCTCTGCAACTGAATTGGAAATGGGGGATAATTCTGAAGATAAAATACATCCGATCTTATGGATAACATTAAAATAAGTTCTTCCTATTCATGGTTATTTATAGACATTATTAGCAAGCACCCAAAACCCTGCAAGATAAGTAACAATTTTCATTTCCTAAGTGGGGAGGCTGAGTCCCTGTATAGTTTT